TTCTTTCTTTCTTTCTTTCTTTCTTTCTTTCTTTCTTTCTTTCTTTCTTTCTTTCTTTCTTTCTTTCTTTCTTTCTTTCTTTCTTTCTTTCTTTCCATTGGGAATAGAAGGTAGTTTCTTTGCCAGAGCATGAAACTAAGAATTCAACAGACTTACGCTGCATCACAGATTTCTTCTGTAATACTAAGTCACTGAACCTTTCTGCCTGTAAAATGTGCAACGAGTTGCTCTTTGACAGCTCCATTAATTTCGACTTGTAAAACAGTGTGAGATACAGAACTAGAAAATGCTTGTGTACCTTAAAATATGTATATTCTACTACAGAAAGTGTCCTTACACATTTTACAGGTGTTGTGAAGCACAAGAAATTCAACAGACAAAGTAGTAACAGGATACATTTTACTGCAAATATTAAATGTCATGATTATTTATAAAAGTTTTTATGATTTTAAAACAGATTATTTTTTCTGGCCATTGGATATATAAAACATTTCTGTGACCTGGTTCTTTATTCCAGTTGCATCTGCTATGAAGGACCATGGTAGAACCTTTTTCATATTTTAATCAGGGAAAGGGAGAAGAAATAAGTATTTCCCTGTAAGAATTAAACACCCAGATGGGTGCTGTCAGAGGAAGAATAACAGTGAAGGGAGAAAGCATTCCAGAACAAGTGGCTGTTTAGAATATTGAAAGATAAGTCTGTTCTACATGACTATCGCATATTGGATGTGGATTATTGAGCTGGAGTTGTATGCTTTCATTGGATAATCTGTCACACAGAGTTTAAGATGTAGAAGGGTTTTATTGTACAAAATATAGCTATGGAGTACAGTAGGTGGAATAAGTTATTTGTCTTGCTCTGTACACTGTARAGACATTATCTGCTGTGTAAGTTACCCCCAAAATGTCACTAAGAGTTCTCGAGCATGGTTATTGCTGGATCAATGCTTGCAGTTCAGTTCAGTTCTGTTTGTTTAGTTCAGTTATTRAACTAAACAGAAGTAATATTGTTTTAAACTCACTTT